ATGTTATTCACCGGGTCCCGGCCAGTAATTACCCACCTGCGCCCGGTGATTACCGAGCATCTCCGAAGGGGAGGAAGATTGTTTTGTTTACAAACAATTTTACCCTCTGTCAGCTCAAGCACACTGCTCAGGATGGCTGTGCACAGTACAGCCATCCTGATCAGCAGTGTATTTACAGGGAAGAACACCCCCTGCCCATTAGTAAAACACTCAAAGCACACAGTTAGACCCTTTGATTGCCCCTCACATTAACCCCTTTCCTGCCCAGTGCCATTAGTACAGTGTCAGTTCTTTTATTTAGTACTGATAACTGTATTGGTGTCACTGGGGTGTCAGTGACACTAAGTCAGTTCCCCCCAGTGTCAGAATGTCCACCGCAGTCCCACAGTCCCACTAAAAGTCGCTGATCGCCACCATTACTAGTAGAAAAAAAAAAATCCCCTTATCTATACCCGCCATTTGTAAATGCTATAGCTTTCACGTGAACCAATTAATTTACACGTTTTGGGATTTTTTTTTTAGCAAAGACATGGATCACAATACATTTTGGCCTAAATTTATGATGAAATTTGATTTTTAAATTTTTTTTACTGGACATGTTTAATAGCAAAAAATGTCCAAAATATTGGTATATTTCTCAAAATTGTCGGGTTTTTTTAGCTTATAGCACACAAAATTTAAAACGCACAGGTGATCAAATACCACTGAAAGAAAGCTCTATTCATGGGAAAAGAAAGGGCATAAATTTTATTTGGGTACAACGTTGCATGACCATCCAATTGTCACTTAAATAACGCAGCGCCGTAACACAAAAAATGGCCTGGTCAGGAAGGGGGGTAAATCCTCAGGAGGGCAAGTGGTTAATATTGTTACCATATTTCTCTGATTAAGGTATCATTGTTGTGGACTACCAAACTACAATGAACACCTTAGTAAACATGCCAAACTCTAATGAAAAGCACCACTGGGGCATAGGATACTGGTTTGATTTAATATTGCTTATGATAATTTGCATCGTTTCATGCTGTGACTTTCACTGACTATAGCATAAAACTGTAATAACACAGCAATGGCTATTTAATTGTCAGATGGTGATTGCAATGTGTTTTTAATTTCAATGACCTGAAATATTGGCATTTAGTTCACCATGCTGCTCAGAATGACTTAGAAGTGTTCATTTTTTATATGCTTGAGGTGTTCTCCTAATTCCCAGCAATGAACATCAGATGCCTATATCAGTGATAAAATAATATCTTGTTAAAAATGTAAACACAGTATTGATACCAGCCCTTGAGCAATCACTGGGATTGAAAGGTGTCTTTCTTTCATTGAACCTAAAATTGATTATAGATATTCCCAGTGGAAAATGGAACTAAGCCACTTTGACATCTCTGTTTGTAATAAAGACAAGCAGGTGATTCACCTCGGGGTTAAGAAAACACACCACATAGGCTGATGTGAGTATAGATTTTTTATTTTTCTAAGCTGAATGTAAGCGTCGCTAAAAGCCACAATAAACAATGTGAAATACATTATTGGTAGAGGTAGTATTGTGCGTTTCTGACCATCTATGTGCAATGAAATAGAACTCAATTTAGCTGATTTGTGAAGACTAAAGAGTAAATGGGGTTGCTGTTTGTAGCCATCAATCATTGTCTAACTTCTATTACAAAATAAAGCGTGGACTTGCACTAGTACCAGTTTTATATACTGTTTTACTTCCCATATATAACTGTAGGGACTTGTTCTTAGAAGGACATATGGACACTAAATATATTCATTTATAGACTTATTCTTTTCTACTAAGGTACCTTTTTACGCTGTTTGTGGAGTATTCGCAAATCTGACCATTCTTGTATATTTGTCTTCTTCAAAAGATTTGTCCTGGCAAATCTGTTTGGTTTAAATGGTACCTGTTAAATGAGCTGATACATTGTTAATCTTTACTGGAATTACAGCCATCCATAGATGCTATAAAGTCCAAGCTCCAACTTCATATAAAAATGACATGTCTGCCCCATAAAATGAAAGTAATTTGCCATAAACCTGAACAATTCAAACTGAACACAAGATGAGAAAATGGTTAGTTCCCTTTTATTAACACCTTACACTCTCTCCTCCAGTCCCCACTGTTCTTACCTCTGTAGGGGATGAGCTGTCAGTGTCCAGCAGCCAAGGCAGCAGCCTGGGGATTTGAAATCCCCAATCTTCTCCACCTTCTTTCTGCAGACCTTCCAGGATGGATCAGAGCAATTCTATGTGCCCTCCCTGGCCAATCAGAATCACTCTGATCCATCCCTGAACTCGGATGCAAACCCTGCAGCAAGACGGGGGAGAAGATCTGGGATTTCTAATCCTCAGGCCACTGCACTGGCATTCTGGGCACTGACAGCTCATCACCTATGGAGATGAGTATAGCAGGAACCTGAAAATATCAGCATAAGGGATATTACTTACAGGCAACGTGATGTGCTCTTTATGCTGCTGGCTACAAATTTAGTTAAAAATTTCTGTCCTGACTGTATGTAATGTCCCTTGTGTTAATTTTTTAAAAATATTTTTGGACTAAACTTGGGCTTTAATCAGAAATTAGGTGAAACCCAAAATGATCAGTAGATCTAGAAATATAGGCAATAGAAGTTATATGCAGATCTTAACTTTTTCTGTTAACAGTGAGCTTGTTATCACCTTTTACTTTTTGTCAAATCCATTTGTGAAGTCTATGTTACAATAATAGGCTAAAACATAAAGTTTGTGTGGTTATTGGAGTGAGACATAAGACTGGCTCTACTATTCCCCACTGTGTAGGGAGGTGTCCTTTCCCTCCACTTAGTTCTCAGATTACACTCAGCTCTGTGCTGTGATGTGTGTGACATCAGATCCCTGCCCCCACCCCCCCCCCCCCCCTTGCCTCTGGTGGCTTGCTAAAGAATTTAGTTGGATGTGTTGGATGCCTAGTTCCCTGCTGTGCAATCTGATTCCTTTTGGTGGCCTCTACATTATTCTGTGTCTTGTAGTGATAAAATGGGTGGTGGATAGAACAACAGTATGCAGACTGGGACCAGGCATCCAACATTCTGAGAGTGTCAGATGCAGAAGATTCTTCAGCATGCTGGGTGAAGATTGACATGGCAATCAGACAGGTGGGTATTCATTATTTAGTTTGCAGGAATACCTTTTCTAAAGTTTTCAATCAGATCAATCAATGGCGTTGCTTTGAAAATGAAACTATACTCATATTCCCTCCAGTGATGCAATGGGGTTGATTCACAAAAGGCAAATATACTGTGCACTGCAAGTGCATTGCAAGTACACTTGCTCCAGAGCTTAGTAAATGAAGTAAAGCTTCACTTTGCAAAGAATACACATGCAATGAAAATTAAATAAAAACAGCATTTTTGCTTGCTCATGATTGGATGGTAGAAATCATTTCAGAGCTTCCCCTCAGATCTAGAGCAACTGCACTTGCAGTGCACAGTGTATTTGCCTTTAGAAAATCAACCCCATTGTCTTCAAACTCCTTCGCCAGCACAGACATCTTTTTGCTGCCTTCTTTAGGTTCAGGATCCTCTGTCATCTTGATTGGCCTCACCAGGATGACGTAACTTCCATTCATTTGCACAAAAGTTTATTCCGACCTCCTGGCAGATGCTGGGATTGTACACTGAGCTGCACATGTGCAGTTTAGGGTACAGTTTAAGATGTTTGCAAGGTAGAAGGTAAAAATCCCTATAGCAGAAGAGACCAAGTAGCAGTGTCCCTTTAACAAAGAATTATACTTACTTTCCCTCCAGCAATGCAGTGTCTGTGACAGGGGCGGACTGACAACTCATGGGGCCCCCGGGCAATAGGGGATCATGGGGCCCCTGTGTCCTTGCCCAAACTCCAAAAAACCTATGAACAAGGTACCAGGGGCATCTCATGGGGCCCCCTACTGACCCCGTGCCCTCGGGCAGTGCCCGAGTTTCCAAATGGTCAGTCCGCCCCTGGTCTGTGAGCACCCTTGCTGGTGCCAACATATTTTCCTTGGCTCATTCCAGATTCAGGATCTCTGCCTATCTCGATTGGCTAGGCTGATTGTAGAACAGATGTTGTATATTTTTTTAAATGTACCTTTAAGTTCTGCTTTAAATTGTGTGATCTAGATTAGGATATTAGCATACTCTGCAACCATGGTCTATACAAAAAGTATGTTTTTAACCAGCATATCTTACCCCCTCATTACAAGGCCATTTCTTAGTTCTCAACGCTCTGACACTTGGACCAAAAATTACTCCATTATGCAACACTGTACCCAAATAAAATATATATATAATTTTTTTTTTAGACAGATAGAACTTTCTTTTGGTGGTATTTAATACCACCTGACTATATAAGGGAAAAAAGACCAAAATATTTGGAAACAAAATGTTTAAATTACTTTTTATTTTAAAACATAACAAATAAAAATGCCAGCACAGTAAGAAACCCCCCAAAAGACCCCTTATTGAAAAGTAGACATACCAAAGTGATGTTATTATTGCCACAATTTTTGGGAACTGAACAAACATGCCATTATTTGGGGTAATCAAACATGAACTTTGAAATGGCATATAGGTCAAATCATAGACAGGGTGGAGCTGACATATACTGTAGAGTGGTGGTGCTGGCTGGTGTTCAGGTGGCCTTTTGTTCCTCTCACAACCATTGGTGAGAGAAGAGTGCTTCCTGATTCCCAGCAAGTAAGTGAAACAGGACTGCAAACAGCAGCCTTGGTTTACATTCTGTGATATTGTGACTGGTCACATCGATCACGTGGTATAGAGCCACTTGCATTGGCTGCATACCTTATGTCTGTGATCTTCTGTCTCCAATCACAGTATGACCACAAAACTGTGCCTTTACAGGGGCACATAGGAGAACAGTTACTGGAGGATGTACTGGTACAGGGGCAGACTGACCATTTGGAAACTCAAGTCAGTAGGGGGCCCCATGAGATGCCCCTGGTACCTTTTTCATAGACTTTTTTGAGTTTGGGCAAGGACACAGGGGCCCCATGATCCCCTATTGCCCGGGGGCCCCATGAGTTGTCAGTCCGCCCCTGTACTGGTACATTCGTTCCTTAACAGTAGGGCAGCAGACTGGTCATACATTAAGAGGGTGGCCAGTCCACACGTGGTTAATATGTTAACATACTTGATCTTTGTATTAATTTGCACCTTTCAACTAAGGACTCTGAGTGTGAAACACATCAGTTTTCTTACCTTTTTAGTTGTTTACTTTGTACATCTGTTTGTAGTAATAAACTTTAGTCTACCAGTGAGCAGTATGCACTCTGTTCTTTGGATTCCTTTGCAAGAGTACTAACCAAATGACTGTTGTGCTGTTCTATACCCTTTAAAAATGTTATTTGAAGGTTAAGTTTCAAGTAGTTATTTGAAATCTATTTCTATAAGCAAGTTGTAATTTTGTGTTTTATTTGCTTTTTTTTTTTTGCTCTGAATATAACTTTTTTGGTTCGAGCAATTCTTTGTTGTAGTGCAGCAGGAAAACATTGATCACTTGTCTTCAAAGATCTCCATTCTGTAAAGTAGATGAGGCACAGGTAATTAGTGCTTAGCTATATGAGCAGGTCTCCCAGGTGCTGCACAAATTGATTCATTGCAGACTTAACAGAAGACGTTTCTGGCAATGATGAACAGAGATGCTACTAAGAGAATTACATATGTATTCCTCTTACAGGGCAGTGTGTGCTTCAGCAGATGCAGGTGGAGTTAATGAACCGCCTCTTTAACCCGGCTACCTCTTGCTTTAAAGTAACCGAGGGAATAGCCAATTACAGCTTTTTTTATTGTTGAATCTGGCTCAATGAGATAAATAAGCATTGAGCTGATTTTTTCTTCTGCAGTTAGTGGTCTATGCATCACAAGTTTGCAGTCTCACTATCAGGGGCGGACTGACAACTCATGGGGCCCCCGGGCAATAGGGGATCATGGGGCCCCCTGTGTCCTTGCCCAAACTTAAAAAAGCCTATGAAAAAGGTACCAGGGGCATCTCATGAGGCCCCCTACTGACCCCGGGCCCTCGGGCAGTGCCCGAGTTTCCAAATGGTCAGTCCGCCCCTGCTCACTATTATCTTTTGGATGTCAGAACCATGTCATGCGCAGTATAAAAAGAGTTGTTTTCCTTTTCATCTTCCCATATCTTGCAATCATTTCTGGATGGCTTATCTTACAGGTTTTCCAGAGGAAGAGTGTACAAGCACTTCGATGTGTTTGGTATTTTAAAATACAATTTTCATTAGCCCCCCCGTTCACACCAATCCGACATTGAAGCTGACTGGAAGTCGCACGATTTCAAATTAGGATGTCATTCCGATTTGGGGTGCGACTTGCAAGACATCTGCCTGCATGCACTACTTTAGAAATCAGTGCAGCTCCAACCAAATTGGAATCGCACTGATATGACCGTTTTAATTGCGGACAATAGGGTGCAACTTGCCAAGCTGCGTGGCATGATAAATCGCATGGCAAGTCGCACCCGGTGTGACCGGGGTGTGAGGTCTGATTCAGAATATCGTGGTGCATAGCTGCAAATACATTTCATGTGTGCTATTTCATATGTTTCATATGTTAATATGTTGTGGTTAAACAGCACCACAATGTACATTTTTAATGGACCTGCAGCTTTTTGTACTGCTGCCCCCCCCCCACACACACACACACACACACACACACAATACAGAGATTTTTTTTATCATCTGTACACACGTGTGCTGTGACGCACTCATAGGTTCATTAACCACTTGCCCTCCAGATGATTTACCCCCCTTCCTGACCAGGCCATTTTTTTGCTATATGGCGCTGTGTTACTTTGCCCGGTCATGCAACATTGCACCCAAATTAAATTTACATCCTTTTTTTCCCACAAATAGAGCTTTATTTTGGTGGTATTTGATCGCCTGTGCATTTTTTATTTTTTGCGCTATAAACAAAAAAAGCCAACAATTTTGAAAAAGAAAAAACAATATTTTTTACTTTTTGCTATGAAACATGTCAAGTAAAATTTTTTTAAAAAAAACTCCCATTTCATCATAAACTTAGGCGTAAATGAGTTCTGATACATATCTTTGCTAAAAAAAATCCCAATACATGTAAATTAATTGGTTTACATGAAAGTTACAGCAATTGCAAATTGCGTTATATATACTATAATTTTTTTTTTGTAATCTTTTTTAATAGTAATGGCGACGGTCAGCGACTCATAGCGGGACTGCAGAGGGCATTCTAAAATGGGGGAACTGACTTGGTGTCATTGATATCCCCAGTAACACCAATACAGTGATCAGTGCTAATAAAAAGCACTGATACTGTACTAATGGCACTGGGCAGGAAGGGGTTAACATGTGGGGCAATCAAAGGGTTAACTGTGTGTTGTTTTTACTATGGGGGCTGTGTGTGTGTTTCACTGTAAGCACACTGCTTTGTATGGCTCTGCGATGCAGTGTGCAGGAGCTGACAGGGGTGAGATCTGTATTGTTTACATACAGGTCTTTCCCCCGTTGGAAATCCTCGGAGATCACCGGGAATCTCCAGCCGGGACCTGGTGATTGACAGCTGAGGCTGGGAATGGCGGCGCCAGTAGGGGGGTACCCAAAACTGCAAAATACATATATATATATATATATATATATATATATATATACGTGATTTTGCGCAGCTGTGCCGCCTTGTAGCAGTATAGGGCGGACGGGAAGCAGTTAAGATAACTGTCAAAATAAATGACACTGCGATACACCTGACTTTATTTCAAATGTTACCAAGCATTGCAGTAACTTATGGCAAAACACTGCATGTTAATGCATGTTACTGCAAAGAACAGATCTAAATCACATCTAAATTACACTGAGTTACCAGAAAATGCATTTCCACTTTTGCGGCTAAATTAGGATAACACCTGTTTGTTATAAATGTTATTATTCATAGAATATAACTTAAAATAAAAAATATAAAGTGCAGCTTACCTTTTTAAATGCTCTTTTCTGGACCGCCCACAAGGAAAAATCCTACATAGTTTTCTTTGTTTATAAGGAGCATGGGCAGTGGTGTTTGCCATCTTTAACCCTGTCTGTATACTGACCAGGCAGATCTTCATTATCAATTGTAACTATTTGAACATTAAAGTGTTACTAAACCCAGGACCCTGCATTCACTATATCTGGTCTCCCACAGTACACAGAACATGGAAATTCAATTATTTTAGTAAATATAAACTGCTAAATACCTTTTCTCATCAGCAGTTATAGCAGTCGAGCAGTCGTGTGACTTCTATCAGTGTTCAGCAGAGCACTGGTTAAAGCTTGTAGGAGGAGTTTTCTTTCTGCTCTAGGTGGCTGTAGAACCCCTGACTTCTGTCTGGACAGTGCTGAGAAAAAAACAACCTCTCTAGCAATAAGCACCCAACTGAGCATGTGCAGAGTGTGTCTACATGATATGTCTTAGGTGATAAAGGGGGGGAACTAGAAGAAGGGGAGAATCAGAGAAGCCGGGATCAAACAGCCTTTTTACACAATGCAGAGTATCAACCCCTTAGGTTCCACAGTGAGTATAACAAGCATACTTTACTGCATATACAGACTGATTTTACTGTTGTGGGTTTAGTAACACTTTAGGGGGTTATTTTCTTAAACTGGAGAGTGCAACATCTTGTGCACAGAAACCAATTGCCTTCCAGGTTTTATTGCCAAAGCTTAAATGATCAAGCTGGAGTTAAAAGCTGATTGGCTACTATGCACAGCTGCACCAGTTTTAATAAATCTACCCCTATCTATCCTATCCGGGCGGCATATTTGCTTAGTGGTTAGCACTTCTGCCGTGCAGTAAATGGGTCATGGGTTCAATTCCCAACCATGGCACCTCCTGCATGGAGTTTGCATGTTCTCCCTGTGCTTCCGTGGGTTTCCTCCGGGTACTCCGGTTTCCTCCCATACTCCAAAGACATGCTGGTAGGTTAATTGGCTCCTGTCTAAATTGTCCTAGTTTCATCCCTAGCCATGCAGGAGCTCCTGCATGGTGGGGGTTGGGGAAAGACTTGGCAACCTACCCTGTAAAATAATTGCTAAGAGAATTCATGGAAAAAAGTCGCTTACGAGTGACGGTCCATGCAATCGCCAAGGGTTGGATACGACTGAATGGATGGATAGATAGATCTATCCTAACAATGGGCTAAATGTGTACAGGGTAGGCTTCTTGCATTCTATGTAAACAAGGACAGACGTGGGGCAGGCTCACTCTTATATTATTCAAAAAGCTTGCAGTCAGCCATGACACTTTTTCCTGAGAAACATCTAAAAGGCAAGACATATTTGTTTTTTAAATTTTAGGCGTGCTGTATGAATGAGAACCTATAACAAACATATAGAGTTTTTTTTTTTTTTAAATTTGACTGCAAACGTGAAAATATGCTTTAACCGCTTCCTGTCCGCCCTATAGCAGAAGTACTGCTACAGGACAGCATGGGTGCGCAAAATCATGTATATATATACGTGATTTCGCATTTTCGGGTAGGGGGTGTGCATGCTCTCTACCCATGCCGCCATTCGCGGCCCTGGCTGTCAATCACAGGATCTCGGACGGTGATTATATGCCAGCGCCCAGTGATTGCCGAGCATCTCCGACGGGGGGGGGAGAACTGTTTGCAAAGAAAACAGTTCTTTCCCCTGTCAGCTCACTGCTTTGCATGGCTGTGCATAGCAGAGCCATACAAAGCAGTGTGTTTACAGTGAAGCACAACCACAGCCACACAGTGTAAAACACACACAGCACACTGTTAACCCTTTGATCGCCCCACATGTTAACCCCCTCCTATCCAGTACCATTAGTACAGTGTCAGTGCTTTTTATTAGCACTGATAACTGTATTAGTGTCATTGGGATGTCAGTGACAGTTAGTTAGTCCCCCCCCCCAGTGTCAGAATGCCCACCGCAGTCCCGCAGTCCTGATATAAGTCGCTGATGGCTGTCATTACTAGTATATAAAAAATAAAAAGATGTAGCAGAATACATTTTGGCCTAAATTTATGCCAAAATTAGATTTTTTAAATTTTTTTACTGGACATATTTAATAGCAAAAAGTTAAAAATATAGTTTTGTTTCTCAATATTGTTGTTTTTTTTTTGTTTATAGCGCAAAAAAATAAAAAACAGAAAGGTGATCAAATACTGCCAAA